AGTGATTATTGACCGACCGATTATTATTGGTAACTAAAGATCTTTGCGAAGATCTCTACGAATTTGAGCTATTTGAGCTTGGAAATTTAGACTACTTATTAGGACATATAGTCTGCGTTTATCGATCGAGTTTAAGACGACATGCTGATAACGTTGGTACGTTCGAGAAGTCGGGCAACCGTTGACGCCAATTTGTACGAGATCTGTTCTATCAACAGTCGGGTCTTGATCCCGGCGGTGTTCAACGCCAACTGATACAGATCGGCGTAAAACTAGAAACGAAACGAAGGGAATCACGAGGGAGAAACAAAAAAAGGAGAAGAGGTTTTCTCTTTACCTTGGTGTCTTCTTCCTCGAGGGGCAAGTCGGAAAATTCGGGGCTCATCTCGGTGGAGCGTATACGCATGGTCCGCGAAGGTGTTACCAACAGCATCAGGTTCGTACGCTGAACAGAGAAGTAAAGTGAAATAATAAAGGGAAATATTATAACAAAGGTCGTGTATCAAATGTCGTTTAGCAGATTTTAATTCAAAATGTAGGTTTAATTTAACGCGCAGTGTGTGTGTTTTTTTAGGTAAAAAATGAAAATACCACGCAGCAAAAGGTACATAAAAAGTTTCGCTAAAAAGTTAGGATAAGAAGCTCAACGTCAACTGGTTCTAGTATACATGTAAAATAAGAGGACTCAATACTTAATATGAATTACAATTTCATTATTGAAATATTCGCGTGATTTCCTTCACACGTGAACTCAAATCTCGAGAGAAAAATAAATTTAACATTCGCAGGAGATTGAACGAGACGTTTCATTTCACTTCGTTTCAAGCAATTTTCTTTCATTCGCAAGTTATTTCAAAGAAATATGTACAGACGTACATTTATGTACACAACTTGACCAAAGAGCACATTACCTCTTTTGCGACGCAACCGTGTATCTCTTTAAATTGCAAGACTATCTCTCGAAAACTGCGAGTCGCGTTCCATCGTGACCAAGAAAAGACGTACGAGGTAGACAATAGAGCCATGCACTCTCTCAAGTGTCTCTCGGTGATCGGATGTTTGATCGGCAGTCCTTTTAAGTAGCTGGCAGCATCCCGTTCTGGGAAGAGGTCCAATCCATCTTGTTGCAACAGCTGCGAGCAGATTCCAACGTTTCAAGCACGGTTCAAGCATCGCGAATCTGGCTAAAGTAACAAAGTACCTACCTCTATCAGACATTCCAATTCCAAATATTTGCCGAGAGTTTCTTTCAGCGGTGTCGATGCGGCACCGCTGAACGAGTTCAAACAAACTCGATCTTCCTGCAATGATTGTTTGCCAAGAGATTACTATGTATATGCGTATAAATGATTATTTATTTACAGTTGAACGAGAACAATCTCTATCTGGACGTCAATATTAATTTTGACAAAGGTATTTTTCAAGCAATTGTGAAAGATGAACCACTCTTGATAGTTGAATCTAAATTATCACATCAAAAATTAGTCATTCGATCGGGGAAGAATCCTCCCCAATAAATTATATAAATTAATTATAGTCTCTCGACAAATTGTCAGTCTCAAAATCTCGTCTCATCTCGTCAGTCAGTCGAAGAATTATATATCTTCTGAATGGATATAATCCGGCAAAGACTGGAGAGACGTTACCCTGATAACGAACTCAGCTTGAACTGTAGCAGCTGTAACGGTGAGAACCACACCGGCGTGAAGGCGACCACTTCTCCCCGTTTCCGGTTTCAATTCCCAACTTTGAAACGGAAGATTCGCGAATTTGTATCCCGCCAGTCCGTGGATTCCTAATCTTCCGACACGAAACGCGATCGTTTGTTTCTCCTCGTTATACTTCACGTCGTGCACGTACTTCGTCGACCACATTTTCTTCTCCGGTAACCAATGAGCGACCACCGGCGGCTCAAACCAGAAAACAGTCTCGGGCAACCTGCCTCGACAACGATCAACGAAACAACACTATAAATACCAATCTCGATCTCTTTGTAAATTTTGTAAATTTTGTAAAGTTGTGAAATCCAAGTGAGAGACATAATTAATAGCAAATCCTTGGAATTCTCGTTAAACTTTGACACACGGTCATAAGATCATAAATTGCGATGAATGTAACGTGTTCGAGGAAAAGAAAGTAGCTCGTGAAGAATAAAATTGACCGAGCACACTGACTTGAGGGTGAGCAAGATGAGCGCGTCCATCGCTAGTTCGAGGGCTTTCATCTCAGCCTCGATGACTTCCGGCGTTCTCTCGGAGTCCGGTGCTGGCTGAGGCGTCTCGTACGATCGAAGAAACGGTACGAATCTCGGCTCCTTTGGTAATTCGACTGCAACGAAAAAACGAGAATTTCGCTCCGTACAATTTCGAACAGTTTGACGTGCGAACGATGATGTTGCGAAATGGCGTGGCTACTCACGAGTAGTCAGGCAGGTATCTTTTCCAAGATCTTTCGGTTGAGGCGGTTGATAAAGCAGATCTACGCGAAACACTCCGCCGAGGATCCTGTATTTTCGCAAATTCACCTCCGTCTTCTCGCATCGAGTAAAGAGCAGTCTCTTGCTTTCCGACATGGATTTCTCTGGGCCGGCGAAACAACGTGTTTCACAACCGATCAATCGATCGATCATAGGAAGAATCGAGTTTTTTACCTTCGGCTTCTCGAATTATCTCGCTCGGAGTCGGTAAATAGGGTAACAGTTCCGCTCTCGAAGGCAACATCGTGGCTAACGTCGCTTCGAACTCCAACTCGTGGTCTTTCGCCGAATTTCGTCCTTTCGCCTGTTTCCTGCCGTGTTTCTTCTTCTTGTCGCGCCGCGGCGAAACAGGCGGATACTCCATTCTTCCGAGTATCGCTTTCTTCTCCTCTAAACGTAGACGTCGTTCCTCCGCTTGCTCCTCACGTAGCCGAAGCTTTTCTCCGTGCTCCTTTGCCGAGTATTCCAAAACGTCTAACGTTTTTATTATAACGTAATTTATTTTCCTCAGCTTTTTAGATTTCTTGAACGAAGGTCAAGTTATGCAGAAGGTTCAAAAAGAGAAAACGTTGCACAAAAATATGACGAAGACGAGGCAGAAAAGGCTAAGTATTTTTAATCGAATGAAGGATTCCATACCGAGAGAAGGATTCCACAGATCGAACAAATAGTCCGGTAACAGAGGCATGCGATAGGAATCCGCTTCAACCGAGTGATGATCGTAAGCAAGCCAAAGGCCTCTGATTGCCATTTGATGGCAATCAAAATCGCTCGGCATCTTAATCGTCAGCTTCATTTCTTCGAATTCGATTTCGATTGTCTTCCTGCAATTCGAAACATGGTCGTGCATATTAACCTGGTCCTGGATCAATGGCTGAAGCGCAAGTGATGATTGGAATGATTATTACATTTTCATTTCAATTCAGAATAAAAATACTTTTCGTATGTTTAATTTCTAGTGCTTCAACTCTCTCTCTCTCTCTCTCTCTCTCTCTCTCTCTCTCTCTCTC